TGTCTACTCGCCTTCCCATCCTCTGGTTCCTGCCGTTCTCCTGTCTACTCACCTGGTCCTCTGATCCTCCTGGTTCCTGCTGCTCGTCTTCCTGCTTACCTGCTCATCCTGGTCTTCTCAGCCTCCACTGCTCAACACTGTTTTGGACCACGCCTAACCCATTGACTTTGTCCACTTATCATCTATGTACAGTATATTGCAATAAAGACACTTACTTACTAGCATCTGAGGTTGCACTTTGAGTCCTCATTCTCTCTCACCCCCTAGGTGAGGGACCCCACCGTTACAGTGTCAACCTGTGAGGTTAAGCCGGGTGATGGGTAAGGGAAGCATGGAGTTTACTGCTCATTAGGTTCTGGCAGTGGAAATGCAGCTATAATGTGCAGCTAATAAAATACTAATGACTAATACAATCAAAATTTGTCCAATTACAAAAACAAAAGGTTTTTATAAACCAATCAGCTCTCAGATCAGGTGAGAGCCAGGCAGTTCTCATCATGCCCTGAGGTCTTGCATTTGGTAGAGAGCAGCACTGGCACCTGGGGCCTCTTTTACAAATGCTATGTATGCACAAAAGAAGGTGTACTGTATGCCACTTTCTGAGCAAACCATGAGATTTATAAAAAAATCACTTGATGGGAAAATGCACAGTCCTCCATGCAAACTCTGAGCCATGCTTATGCACAAACAGGAGAAATAGGAAAAGGGAACCCTGACAGAAGAAAAGATGAAACATGAGAAACCGTGTGATTGGTGCCGCTGACTGCCTCTCTGAGCATTATCTTCATGCAATCATATTGTGTGTATTGATGCTCCCTTGCCGCAAGTATAATTAAACTTTTATATTATTTATATAAGTGGCCTCAGTCTGCTTTGTCTATTGTTTAATAACCCTAACAAAAATGTATTTTAATAAGTAGCCAATTAGGTGCACAGTAGAATAAAGTAGGACACAGTCAGGCAGATAGGAGTGCATAGATTCATACATTTGTATTATATAATGTTTCATAAGGTTCTCACTTTTTCACCCAGTATGTGAATTGCCGCACAAGGGACAATAAAACTCTGGATCTAATGTATGCAAATGCCAGGAAGGCATACACCTCCACCCCCTCCCCCCTCTAGGGTGCTCTGACCACAAGCTTGTCCACCTACTCCCAGTGTATACTCCAGTGGTGAAAAAAGTGTCACCTCATGTCAGGGTAGTAAACGTATGGACAGAGGAGGCAACTGAGCAGCTGAGGGACTGTTTTCACACTACAGACTGGGACATCCTCTGCAATCCTCATGGAGAGGACATACTGTAGACGGCCTCACACACTGTGTTTCAGATTACATAAACCTCTGTGTGGAAAATACCGTACCATCCAGGAGAGTTTGGTGTTTTCCTAACAACAAGCCGTGGGTGAGCCCCGAGTTAAAAGTACTGCTAAATAAGAAGAAGAGGACTTTCCTATCAGGGGACAAGGAGGAGCTGAGCAGCCCATGGCTCACTGATGATGAGGTTGATCTACTGTAGATTAAACTTCTATTTGTACTTTTCAAAAGATTAAAATGTATTTGAATCTTTGTTAAAATGGTTGAAAATGAGAAATATTGTCCATTGGTCTCTATGAAGAGAAAGAGTCAGGGGCTGTAGTGGTGATATCACAGCTAGAGTGGTAGAGTTGGATTGGTCTAAAACATTCTCTCTAACAGAAGGTGAGTCCGCTGTTCTTTTCTTATTATTGTTCTTTTCTGCTGAGGGTGTTTAATATCTGAAAGGTTTCATTATTTTGTGGCTGCAAGTTGCACAATTACAAACAGAACACACTGGCTCCTGCCCAACACCACCCCCTCAACCAATTACCTTTTATTATAGTGCTGGTGTTGGGGTTATTTTTTTAAATGAAAACATGCTCTGTAGACCAACATGCCCACTTTGTGAAGTGGTGTGAGGAAAATCGACTGGTCCTGAACACCAGTAAGGTCACACAGGTGATTGATCCCTGGCAGAAATCACCAGCACTCACTCCGGTGAGCTTTCAGGGCTCAGTCATTGAGATTGTGGACACCTTTAAATACTTGGGGGTCCACCTCAACAACAAAATGGATTGGAGTGAAAACACAGATGCCCTGTACAAGAAAGGCCAGAGCCGCCTCCACTTGTTGAGGAGACTGAGGTCCTTTGGTCCTTT